GGGCGACGGGGGGCACCTGTAGGGCCTCCTCCCGCCTGGGTGGACTGGAAGGCGGGGAATTACCTGCTCGGCTGCTCCTCTACCTGAACAGCCAGATATTATAGAATAACAGAATTGGAAGGGACTTTGGAGGTCTTCTAGTCCAACCCCTGCTCAAGCAGGAAACCCTATATCATTCCAGACAAATGACAAAGAAGAGGGGGTCAAATTATTCTCCAAAGCATCGGGGCAGGACAAGAAATGAGAGAAGCAACCTGGAATTAAGAGAAACTTCCTAATAGTGAGGACAATTAACCAGGGGAACAGCTTGCCTCCAGAAGTTGTGGGCGCTCCATCATTGGAGGTTTTTAAGAAGAGACTGGACAGTTACTTGTCTGAGATGGCATAGGACGGTTCTCCTGCTTGAGCGGGGGCTGGACTAGAAGACCTCCAATGTCCCTTCCAGCTTCTGTTCTGTTTTATTCTATTCTAGACGGTCCAGTTTCTTCTTAAAAACCTCCAGTGATGGAGCACCCACAACTTCTTGAGGGAAATTGTTCCACTGCTTGATTGTTCTCACTGTCAGGTAATTTCTCCTTATTTCTAGCTTACTTCTCTCTTTGATAAGTTTCCATCTGTTGCTTCTTGTTCTGCTTTCAGAAGAACAACAACAAGGAGAATAGATTGACCCCTTCCTCTGTGACAGCCCCTCAAATATGGGAAGACTGCTATCATATCACCCCTAATCCTTCTTTTCATTAGACTAGACCAGTGATGGCGAATTATGGCACGCATGCCAGAGGCAGCACTTAGAGCAGTGGTTTTCAACCTTTTTAATGCCGCGACCCCCAACCAGTCGTAAGTCAAGGACTAAACCAGTCGTAAGTCGAGGACTAAACCGGTCGTACATCGAGGACTACCCAACCGGTCGTAAGTCGAGGACTTTCTCTGCCCGGGAGTGCCGTGCATGCGTGGTTCCGCCCCCTGCGCCGGCCGAGGCGTAGCTGGCAAGCGGCAGAGACGGAGCAGGCCGACCACCAGCTGGCCCAGCCCAAGGGAGGTAAGGCACCCGCCGGAAAAGGGGGAAAAAATGGCGGACAAAAGAAATGGCGGACAGCCTTGCTTGGCGACCCCCGTGAAATGGTTGATCGACCCCAAATGGGGTCGCGATCCATAGGTTGAGAACCGCTGACTTAGAGCCCTCTCTGTGGGCACGCCTGCCGCCGCCGCCAGCAGCTTGCGCAGGTCCATTAGGCCACTGCCGGCATCCGGAGCGGCAGCACAAAGGAGGCGAAGCAGCCGGCTAGCAAGCTTGCATAGAGGTGGTAGAGCATGCCCCCATGCACTTGTTGGCCTGTGTGCGGGGGCCGATGGTGTCAGGCAGCAGCCGCCCCTGCCTCGCCTTGCCCCGCAGCAATGGCACCCCCACCCTACCCCCTGCCTCAGCCTGCAGGACAAGCCTCCTGCCCACTACCCCACTTGAGACCCCCTAGATCTCCCCCAATCCTGCCCAGCCCCCACAGGCATCCCCCCCCATGAGCAACATCAAGGTGGCCNTTTGCGATAAATAATTGGGTTTTGGGTTGTGGTTTGGGCACTCAGTCTCTAAAAGTTTCGCCATCACTGGACTAGACAGACCGAATTCCTGCCAGTGTTCTTCCTATGTTTTAGCCTCCAGTCCCCTAATCATCTTTGTTGCTCTTCTCTGCACCCTTTCTAGAGTCTCAACAACTTTTTTGGATCATGGTAACACATGGTGGTCCCCTGAAGTTCCCTGCACCGCCAATGACTCCCACCACCTATAATAGAAATGCACACACTCAAAAACCTAACTTTTATCCAGTTTTCAAGTATGTTTAACGTAACTTCTTGGGCAGAAGCTTACCTTTACCTACATTTAAACACATGATTTTTTTTTAAAATTCACGTCATTCTGTGAATACCAGCCTTAAGTATTTTAACCTGGAATGGAAAGGCAGGCTTGACTGATTAACTAGGTGCCCTGAAGCTGATGCTAAGTCTTAGCAACCACAGAAGCCGACATTCTCAGGAGCCGGCTGATCCGACCTCGACCTGAACTTTTAGGTATCCCAGTGAATTAATTGCAGTTGTAATTGAATCTATCCACCTTCCTGCTGGTCATCCTCTTCTTTCCTCCCACCCTTCCCAACTTTATAGAGATTTCTCAAGGGAGCCAGGCCTGCACAGAATATGAGAACTTGAGCTCGGTCATTTGTGCCTTGAGTGAGAATCTGGGTCGATTTGATCAATGATTCATAGGTTTGTTTTCTTGGTGTTTTCTCCCAGATCACCGTTCACAGGCGCTTCTCTCCTGCTTCTTTTAAGGCCAACCTTTGCTCTTATCGGGGGGAGGGGGCTACGGGGACCACCACATAATTCTGACTTTTGGAATCGCAGACACGGCGCCGGCATCTGGGTCTTTTCCCAGGCTTAATCCGCAGCGTTGAGGCATTAAAATAAAAATTATGGTCGCTTCGGGGAAGCTCAAAATTCGGGAAGGGCCGGCCACCTTCATAAAAGGGCTTCTGGCCTCCTTTTGCTAGTGAACATTTTCTCCATTCAAGTTGATCCCAGGAGCCGAAAACAGCCACAGGAGCAGACGCACAACTCTGTGTCAATCGGCTGCCCCCGATCAGCAAACGGCAGCAGCAACGCAAGGCTGAAACGGATATTGTTTCTGGACCCAGATGGGGTCCTTATCAGAAAGTCAGCTGCTCAGCAGGAAACCTCTCTGGCCCTCGGCTCTTGCGGCATTGTAGAGAAGCCGCAGAAGCACCTAATTTGAACCCTCCAGGCCCTGCCAGGATGGAAACCAAACCCAGCCCCCCCCCAATATTCCTGCATTCTTGAGGTGGGGTGGATTTGGAGGAACTTGCTTATTAGCTACAGAAAAATGAACTTTCAGCACAGACTTCGAATAGCTGAGTTCTAGATGGACACCTAATTCCTTGGGGTTTAGGAATCTTGCTGAGCCACGTTTCGTTATTAAACCACAACTGACTGAGTTTGCATAACCACAAGAGCTGAGCTCACACAACACGGCTTTGCAAAGTCTGTGAGCTTACCTGGCTGGTTTACATATTTTGTTCCTGATAGGTCAATGTGTGTAGTAGCTGTGCAACTTTTTCAGGATGAGTCTCTGAATAATAAGTTGCTCCCCCATGATTGATCTCGATGGTTGTGTAGCTTTTTCTAAAAACCTAAAATCCTTTTAATGCCGTGTTTTGACATTAGTATAGCGCAGTTTTCCCAAGAGGCCACTTTGAAGCTCTGCGCAAGCCCTCCTCAAGAACCCTCCCTCGTTTGAACCAGGAGCTGGGTGGTCACCGCAGGTCCTGCCAGTCCTCTCCTGCCCACTTCACTGGCTTTTGCCAACAGAGGAGCCCATCCTTATAAAAAATACTTTATTGACCTTGGTACCACAGAAGCAACTCTCCTGTACAATTAACTCTTCAAGACAGCAACTAACGCCGAGTCCGCCTTATAAAACAGATCCGTTGGCAACCGAGTGCCTCTCCTGGTGGGAAGGGAACCATAGCTGCCCTTCTGAGAAGGGGGAAATGGGCAGCCAGCTCTTCCTGCTTTCCTTGGCAGAGACCACCCGGGGAGCCCAGATTTCCCCCCCCCCTCCTCCTTCCTTGGGGATAGCAGCCAGGGGGATCCACGCCTTGCCTCTCTGGGTCTGCCCCACAATTACAGGAGCCAAGGACTTACGTGCAGCGCAGAAGGCTCCAAACAGCAGCTCCGGGCCACTTGCACACAGACTCTGACCCCCCAGCCGAGACGGGATGACGAGAACAGCCACAGGCTTAGCAGAGCACCTCCTTTATGCCCATCCCCTTCCCTGCCCTGAGCTACAGAGCAGCAAAGAGAAGCATGGCGGGATTCGGGGACCCGCAGGGACTCCCTGGAGGGGATTTCCCACCTGCCACGGCTACCTGTTAGCTCCACTCACCTCCGCCAGGCAGCTGCTGCATTCCCTCCCTTGAAGGTGGCCAGACGCCGCTTCCCTGGCTGCTTTCTCACTTGCCTTTTCAAAATGCCCACCCGCCTCCACCTGGCACTTTGCAGGGTGCTCGGTTACACGCCTGCCAATCACTTGGGCTGCCCAGGAACCAACTAAGCCAGCAATAAATACCCTGGGACAGGCAGCTGCAAGCAGGAGACATGGAGCCCCCCCCCCCCTTCGGCAGGAAGACTGGGTGGCAGAGTGGGGGGGGGACATTGCCTTTGCAATTCCCATTTCTCTCCAACCCTTTCCTCCCCCTCCATAGGGACAAGGGGGGGGATCTCACCAAGACACTAGGGTGGGTGGCAAATGGGAAGTCCTTTTACGCACTCCCTGAGAAAGCAAATTCACAGTCCACAACGACAGGAAGATTTTAGCTAGAGGCCTGCAAGGCAGCTTTGGGCCTTTGGCAAGCCGAATTCTGAAAGGGGCAAGAGAGCCCGGGAGCTGCCCGATGGGGTGGGGGCAGCAGCCAGACATGGCAGGGATGTTTTGCCCCCTCCCCAGGGCTGCTTCCTTGATCTCATGTTCTGGAGAACTTGGTTAACACCAAGGAACAAGTCTTTGGCCTGGTCTGCTGACTCTGAAGGAAGGTTCAAAGTCCCTCTCTTTCCCCAATTTGTTGTTCCAAGGTGCTACCACTGCACTACTCTGACTACAGCTGAGCAAAAACTGCAGTTTTTTTTTTCTCCCAGCAAAACGAAGAACCTTGTGATCGATGAAAGACAAGAATGGTTTTCAAGTCTCAGTGGGGAAAAAGTTAATCTACCAATTTTCAGACAAAAGGTGGGACTTTCAAAGGACGGTGCTGGAAAGATGAAAATCGAACTTCGTTCAGCAATGCCCCCACCTCCATCTCCGTCAGAACATGGCAGTCATTCCCCACATCCCTGTGGCACTTTCTCTGCCCAGGAGCAGCACTGGGGTGAAGGCCGGTCACCAACAGTGCCAGTCCCGAGAGCACTAAACCACATTGAAAAGGAAGAAATAGAAAGGAGTGGAAATCAGGGTCAAAAACTCTTCCATCCAGAAAGCCCACCACCAGAATGTCTACTCCCCCCTCCAAATGGGTCCACAGATTCACCTTCTCCAGTGGGGAGGGGGGAGGGGCCAACCTGGGAGGAATCCATCAAGACTGGCTGGAAATAGATATTGGTGGCCAAGCACAAGAAGAGGCACTCAACCCTGTCCTGGAAGCCTCACGTTCTCTCAAGTTTGAAAAACCAAGTTGGACTGAACCACGAATGGGGCCCCCTCTGTGCCTGGGAGGGGGCCCTTCCCTAGAGGGTCTTTGGCCGGGCATTCAGGCGGATGACTTCCTTGAAGTCCCGGACAAACTCGCGCAGGCGGTCCATGTGAGGGTTGACGTTCTCCTCCATCCATTCCTCCACGGTGTCCGGGAAGTAGATGCTCTCCAGGTGCGAGCGCAGAGTCTGGATGGTGTTCTCCCAGTCTTCATGGACTCTGGGGGGGAAAGAGCGGGATACCTGTCTGAGGCTGGGAGGGAGGGAGGGAGGGAGGGGCACCTGCACCATTAAGGGCCCCTTGACCTCTAAGAGCTGGGCTCTCCATCCTCGGCAGCTTTAAGACTTGTGGACTTCCAGAATTCCCCAGCCAGCCATCGCTCTGGGCATTCTACATATTCTCCTACAGCAGTGTTTCTCAACCTTGACAATTTTAAGGCATGTGGACTTCAACTCCCAGAATTCCACAGCCAGCAATGCTGGCTGTGGAATTCTGGGAGTTGAAGTCCACATGCCTTAAAATTGTCAAGGTTGAGAAACACTGTCCTACAGTGACAGATTGTTTTTTTTTTAAAAAAAAACAAAATCTTCCAATATATTTGCCTTCCTTTCTCTTTGCAACCATTTGTGGACCAGTTCTTGGAAGATGCAATTTCTCTTGAAAACGAACTGAATACGATAAGGACATTCCAATAAAGGGAAAGATCTGTGCTTTTTACACCAATATGGGGAGAGAGAAGAACTGGGCTGGGATCCTACCCCCTCTGGGATCCAGCCACTCAGCTGTCCACTCACTTGAGCACTTTGCTGCCGAAGCTTTCCATGTTTCGTGGGTTGCCGAACTGATGCTTGCGGTGATACGGGCTGAACCATCCCTTGATGGAACTGCATTATTAGAGAGAGAAAAAGATTCGGTGAAGCCTGGACGAAATCCTAGCAGGTGAGACAAGGAGAGACTTGAAAGAGGCGAGGACTCTGCCTGAGTCCCTGGAACTGGACAGCAGCCATACAGTTATAGCAATAGCACTTAGATTTATATACTGCTTCATAGTGCTTTATACCACTCACTGGGCGGTTTTACAATGTTAGCATCTTACCCTCAACAATCTGGGTCCTCAGTTTAACAACTTCGGAAGGATGGAAGGCTCAACCTTGAGCAGGTCAGGATCGAACTCCTGGCAGTGCACAGAGTTTGCCTGCAATACTGCATTCTAACCACTGCGCCACCACGGCTCTTAACCAATGGTGGGATTCAGCCAGTTCGCACCAGTTCGGCTGAACCGGTAGCTATTTTTTTGTTGCCCAGGCCCAGACTTCCGGAAGCGGCATCCATGCAGAGAATCGGTGGTTCATCTATTTGAATCCCACCACTGCTCTTAACCCTAGCCTTAAAAGGTTATGGCTCTCTGTCCCTGTCCCTGCCACCCATACCCTTAGCTGCTTGCAACAATAATAACTTACACACACACACAAAACCAGTTTAAACAGACTAGTCCAGTGTTTCTCAACCTTGGCCACATTAAGTTGGATGAACTCCCAAAATTCCTCAGCCAGTTCTGAAGAACTGTCAGGATCCAGTTATATTTCCTTTTTATCTATCTCCTCGATGTAAAACCAATTCTTACCTTTTCCTGGGTCCTGCCATACTCCCAAGGGGGAGGGGGGATATGCAGGTGAATTTTATTACTCTCACTTCCTCTATTCACTACAAAGTAACCTTTTGTTATTCGCCTCTGCTAACCATTACAATGGAACCATTTGCCTCTTATCCTATGCCCCTCTGAACTTCTCCTTACCGGGCAGCTAGGAAAAGGGGGGAGGGGTTGAAAAGATGCATCCTCGTGGATCTGGTTTATTTATCCGTCATCAAAATAAGGGGTGAGGAGCTGTTGCATGATCGTGTACAACGGAGCCGGATTGATGTTATCTTTCCTGGATTTAATACCTAGAAATCTGCCGGTTTGAATCGCCTGGAAGAACTGTGGGGTGGGGGTGGGGGCTGCTTAAGGACACTTTAAAACATTGATTTGTGAGGGAATCCCTCAGATCCTGTCTATTATGCCTACTGTCAATTTCTCTTAATAAAAGTTCCTGTTGGAAGAGATTGTTTCCAAGAGTTCTGCTTTCTTAAGATGTGGATTGAACTGGTTCCTTACAAGAATTGAAGAAGCTTCTTGGATGAGAAGCAAAAGGTTTTCAAGGAAAAAAACCAAGACAGTCCAGTTTTGAAAAGAACCTTTGGGATGTGTGACATTTGCAAAGCCCCCTTTTGCGGCCTTCTGACAAGCAGAGTCAACGGGGAAACCAAATTCACTTAGCAATCGTGTTACCAACGTAGCAACTCCAGTGATTCGCTTAACAACCTAATCACTTTAAGGCCTTTAAGAAAGGTCTTAAAATGGGGCAAAATTCACTTAACAACTATCTGGCTTAGCCACAGAAATTTGGGGTTCAATTGTTCAAAAGTAGGGACCAGCTGTGAACAGAGCAGGAGGTACAGCCAAATGGGAGCAAGGTTCCTCTTAAGCACTTTGGATAAAAGATCTCTGCTGGGGGGGGCAGAACCCCCGACTTCTCTCTGACCTTGAGAAGCCCCAAACCAAGGCCCCCTCCTGGAAGATGCGTCCCACTTCCTTGCCCTCCAGAATGAGGGGGGAGGATTTCAGCCTTGGAACGTGGCAAGCAGGGGGGAGACAAGGGGAACCTGGGGCCCGGCCCATCTCCTGGCCAAGCCAACGCTGTGGGGCACCGGGGGCCCTTCTGCCGCGGCAGGCACCCACCTTTCCTCCTCCAAGACTTTGGTGACCGAGTCCTTCAGCTGGCCGTCCACTTGCTCGACCATGCGGTAGATATCGGAGCCCGGAAATGCCCCGGTTCCTTCGCTGGGAAGACACAAGGAGATTTTCAGCAGCAACCCTGGGACGCAAGCGGCTGCCTTCCTATTCCTCCAGTTCAGAAAGAGGAGAAAGACCCAGGCGCCCCTCCCAGGCTCTTAGCCCAGCCCTTGCTAGCCCATCATGGGCTCCCCTGGCCAGGGGTGATGAGCTTTGGAGTACCCTTGGGCTAGGAATGGCTGACTTAAAGGCAGACCCACGTAAACAGCCTCCGTCCTGGAAGAGCGGAGCCCCCCACCTCGGCCCCCTTTGTATACGCACCAGGTGCTCTTTTCCAGGTGCAGATTCTGGAAGCCAAGCATGGCCAGGACTTTCTTTTTGGCAGCCTCAGTGAAGCCTCCTGGGGGACAGAAGGAGGGGGAGGGGGGCGGTGAGGGAAGGGCTCTGCCCCGCTGCCTGCCTGGCCTGGGGGAGCCGTGGCTGACCGGTGTGGGGAGCCGCAGCAAGGTAACCCAGAGAAAACAGCCTGTGCTGTCCTTAAACACGGACTTGTCTGCACACAACATGGTACAGGTCATCCTCGGACTTGCGACAGTTCATTTAGTGATAATTCAAAGTTACAGCGGCACTGAAAAAAGTTCCTTATGACCGTTTTTCAGACTTATGACCTTCCCAGCATCCCCGGGATCACGTGATCAAAATCCGGATGACTCGTATTTACGACGGACACAGTGTCCCAGGGTTATGTGACCTTTGGCGACCTTCTGACCAGCAAAGCCAATGTGGGATCCAGATTCACTTAGCGACTACAGTGATTCGCTTAACAACAATGACAAGAAAGGTCACTTAACATCTGTCTCGCTTAACAACAGAAATTTGGGGCTCAGTTGTGGCCCTAAGGTGAGGACTGCCTGTAATCTACCCTTGATCTGGCTGCCCAAAGCAGCACGGAAGCCGGGGGGGGGATGGCCTGGCGTAGTGGTGGGTGGCAAGGCCGCCCCAAGGAAGACACGGGCACAGAGGAGAGGGTCCGCTGTGAACGGCCTTTGCGGTTTGTGACTTAAGGGGCTTTGGAAGACCGCCAGATTGGGGCATCTGGAGGGTGGGGGGAGGCCCTTGTGCTGCCCTCAGGACATTTAGGCCCAGATCCATCCCCAGGGAGGAAATGAAGCCTCCCCTCTCTTCAAAGAAGAATTGGGGGGTGGGGGTGGAGGGTCTGCCTCTTGCCTGGACTTTTGTTCAGCCAACTGCCCAGATCACTTCCGGGAGGCAGGGGGGGTCCGCGCCAGGCACATGGGCATCAGAGGGCCCTGGCAGAGCCCTGGAATGGGGGCTTGCAACAGCAACAGGTGCCTTTCGGGTGCGCCACCCCCAAATGGGCCTGGGATTTTTTTTTGACTCCTGACTGGTCCAGTTGCAGCCAAGTCCCTGCCCTCCACATCGTCCCTCCTTGCCCTGCTCCACAAAGGCAGCCCTCTTCCGCCAGTTGTTCTGCCAGCTCTTTAATTTATGCCTCTGTAATCCCTGACCCAGATCAGACGTTGCAGGAAGCCACAACCTGCCTGTGTGGAGCTAACCTTGACTGAGAGTTAACACCGCCGGGAGTGGCAGGAACCAGGCTGGGCAATTTTCTCTTTGAGCCCGAGAGCTGTGATGGGTGTAGCTGAGGACATGGTCAGTTTTCCTGAACCTCTGGCTAAGGGAGCCCCTTCGTCCCTTAAGCACCCTGACACAATAAATGTGTAGAAAACCCAGCCCTGCTCACACCCAGGAATCCCTGTCTACCCATCTGCCAGAAACCGGATTTTACAAACCAGCCTGGCCAAGTTCATTTACCAGGGTAGCCTGGCTCAAACCAGGCATTCTGGCTTCTTGGGAAGAGGCAAGACGGTCATTTGATCTGTTTTAATCGCTTCAGAGCCGTCAAGTGGCCCTGCCTATCCTTCCTGAGGCAGAGCCTGGAAATTAATTATGTACCACAAAAAAAAAATTGTTTTTAACTCTTTATACGCTCGTAATGAAATAATTTAAACAATCCCTCAGGTACGAGGAGAAGGAAAGTTTCTCCCAATCAAACAGAATTTAGGAAAAGCTTTTCCTAAGACGCAAGCACTGCGTCTCTTTCCCCACGAGGGAGGGGGTGCTCCAGCCCCCCTTCTGGCAGGGTTTTGGGGGGGGGGCAGCTGGAGGGGGCCAGGCCTGCCAGGACCACCCGAGAGAGGAGGAGGGTCTGACATCTGTGGAGGAGGCAGCTGTTCTTCAATGCACCACTTGGGGGCACCAACGTCCTGCCAATCGGAGAGAGGCTGCCCTAGGAGTGTGGACACACACACACACACACACACACACACACACACACACACAGTCCAATAGTTTGCATGGCCTCCACTGGGTGGTTCTCTGCAACTTGGAAATGCTCCATGACTCCTGCCCACTTTCCCTCCCCACCAATGCCCAGGCTCCCCCCTCACCGTTCACCAGGGTCTGCAAGCACACGGCCAGCGAGGGGATCCCGACAGGTAGCAGCTCACACAAAGCAGAGTAGTGGTCGTACCTGCACAGAGAAACAGGAAGGGATTGCTCCTTTGTGACCCACTGGATTCCCCCCATTTTTGCCTATCCAGGCAGTAGATCTCCTTCTCCTCGCTGGCAATGCAAAAGGCAAGAACTGGAAGTGGGGGGGGGAAGAGAAGAGACCTCAGACCTCTTTTTTTCTTTTGGGTGGGTGGGGGCCTCAGGGGCAAGAGGGGGTGCTATGTCTGGGCATTTCTTTTGGGAGGGCAATGGCACAAGGCACCCCTGAGCTCAGCATCTGGACCCCCTGCGACTCCAGTCCCCCCTGGAGAGCTAAACAAGGCTGGGGGGGGGGCGGTTCTGCCTCTGCCAGCCTTCCACTGGCGAAGCCCAAAGGAAACCCCACCCGCCTAAAGCCTTGGCAGAGGGCACTGCTGCCTGTGGAGGAGCCTCGAAGCCAGGCTGGGCCCTTCTTCTCCCCCAGGGGCAGCTGATGGAGGGCTGCGGTTCCCGGGGAGGCCAAACAGACTCTTCCCCCCCCCCCCCACTTGCCTTTGCCAGCCGGTGAGTACGATGCCCTGGAAACGGATGGAGGGCATCTTCTCCGTGACTTTCATGACTTTCAGCCATCGCAGGTGGTTCTGCAGGTGGGTGTTTAAGGGGGTCCAGGCCTGGGCGGGGCCCGTGGTGCCTTTGAAGGCGCTCGCAAACCAGATGGTTGGAAAGCCGCACTCGGCGTACTTTTCAATGTACCTTCCTAGAGTCAGCAGGGAGAGAGAGAGAGAGAGAGGATCGCCCGTGCTCAGGCTGCTCAGAACTGAAGGGGTGCCCAGGAGCCCTCACTTTTGAGGGGTCTGTGGGGTCCTGTGCAAAGCGACATCCAGAGCCTCCCTTTCTCGGACACGCCAAGCGCCCAGGAAGGTGGCTGGGAGGGATTAAAGTTAGGGGACTCCTCCCTGTGTGCCAGCTGGGCCTTCAAAGAAAGCCAGGGGTCCTTTCAAGAAACGAAAACGTCTTGTTTTCTTTAGCGGCTTTAACCTCCCTCCCTGCACGCACTGCAAAGAGGTGAAAAGAAAAGATGGGAAGCCAACCTATTTGCTGCGTATCAAAGTCTGGCGCGTAAAACCACAGCACGGGAGACGCGTGTTTGGCAATGCCGGAATCTGAAAGACATCAGTTCTGGGGTGAGAGGCACAGGCGGCTCCTGCCAGTCCACAACCCTGAATGAAGAAGGAAGGCCCTGCAGCCGAGGAGCGGGCGGGCGGTTTCACATCAAGGGGTCAACTTCTCTGGGCCTTCTTTTGCAGCTCCTCTCGGCAGTGGGGGTCTCTCTTCTTGCCCACCCCATCTCCTGAGCCCTCCCTGCTTCTCCTGAGCTGCTTGGTGCACATGTTGGCCTGCCTCTCCTGCTCTTCTCTATGACCAGCCCTGCCCAGCCTCCCCAACTTTTTGGCTTGCCCAGCCACCCTCCGTGACGTAAGGGCAGCTCAACCAATCAGAGCCACGGACCTCACCACCATCCAGGTGTGCAGGAACAGTTCCAAGGAAAACCACTGCAAGATCAGGCAGGCTAACCCCAGCGACAGCCCAGGAAGGTCCCGGCGGATGGCACTGACCTTGGATGGCTGCGATGCCAACCTTCCGCAGCATGTCGTCCCAGAGCAGCACCCGCAGCCCCCACGGCTGGCTGGCGATGAAGTGCACCACCTCCCGGATGTGGTTCAGGTACATCTTGCCCGTGTCGCCCCCGTTGCGGCTCATCCAGTTCTTTGAATCCGCCCCTTCGCCTAAGTGGAAGACCTGAAGGGCCAAAGAAGTGCCTCAGCAATGCGGGGAGCGGGGGGGGGCTCCTTTCCCAGCAGACTCTGCCCTTTCACCATGGCTGGAGCAACCATCCTAATCCCTCGTTTTGAGGCGGGTTGAAAGGCGGAGGGGATCCGCCTGCACCTGACAAAGATGGGGCTGTTCTAGACAGAAGTTCTCAAATCTAGGAGAGAAGCAACCTAGAACTGAGGAGAAATTTCTTAACAGTGAGAACCCAGTGGAAGGGCTTGCCTCCAGAAGTGGTGGGTGCTCCATCACTGGAGGCTTTCAAGAAGAGATTGGACAGTCACTTGTCTGGCATGGTAGAGGGGCTCCTGCTTTTGCAGGGGGTTGGACTAGAAGACCTTGCTCAATAGTAGTAACTGTGAGAGGGACCTCGGAGTCCTAGTGGACAATCACCTAAATATGAGCCAGCAGTGTGCTGCAGCTGCCAAAAAGGCCAACACAGTGCTGGGCTGCATTAACAGAGGGATAGAATCAAGATCATGTGAAGTGTTAATATTTATTTATTTATTTATTTATTATTTAGATTTATATCCCGCCCTTCTCCTCGTAGGACTCAGGGCGGCTGACAATCAATTAAAATACATAAATAACAATACAGGTTTAAAATTAATTAAAAAAAATATTAAAGATTGTCCAATTTAAAATATTGATTAAAACCCCTCTAAAAATTACCCTAGGCCAGTCCTGCGAGC